ACACATCATTGAAGTCCATCCTCCCGAAGTGGCAGATAACAAAGGAATGTTAAAAAAAATATCTAAATGTCATCTAAAGAGCAGTATGACAATTAACTGACCACAAGTTCTTTTAGGTCTTTTTGTTCTGCATTAAAGACTGGAATCCATTCATAAAAGAGTGGAAAATTGAAACACTTGTCTTCTTCCCACTCTACACCAATGGAAATCACTTCAGAAAGTTTACTTATGTTTACTACTGGCTGTATCAGTTCGATTTCAAAATCCTCCTTTGTTGAAATTATTGCTTCCTTTAATTATGCAACAGTTAATCCTTAGCTTTTCAACAGGCTTATAGATCCTGACAGTTACAGAATGATCCTCAAAGAAATTCTGCAGTGATTTCTTCACATTTTTAGTCCATCACCCATGCTTAATCTTTCTTATGTCACCAAGCGGGCTCTATCTAGCATGATCAAGAGCTGCACATGCAAGACCATGCTCTCCAAGGCCAAATAGCACTGGGCCACACACTCCCTTTTAGGTAAAGTCTAAAACTTCCTGTGCCCTGCTCTAAGAATGACTCCAGTCTCACCCTCAATACAACAAACTAGGGCATTCAATTCCTAATACAAGACGTGCTTGAGATTGAACCCAGGAGTGGAGAAGATAAATAATATACATTTTAAATTAGTCAACCATTGTTCAGGGGAAGGGGCTGGGATGGGAAAATGGTTCCAGGTGTTGCAATGCTCTCATAACAAAGAGCTGAAGTGTGTTAAGAATACAGAAAACTTGTGCCTAAGCTCTAGTTCAGAACAGCAGAAGAAATAACAGAAGATGAAAATATATCTATAGCTTTATTATTTTCTGAATACAAAACGTCTGTTGTATTGTATAAGGCAGTAACTCCACATTTTCCTTGTATAAATATGTGCAAAATAATTTTTTATAGTTTAAAAAAATAAATTAGTGTTCTGTTCTCTTCTTGTCCTTCCTTGTCTTTTTGCTCTTTCCTGTTTGTTTAGATGACTCTTCCTGAAATGAAAAAAAGCATTTAAAAATTTAAACAACATTCTTATATACAGTGAGTATTCTCTCAGGGTCACCCATGAGAACTAGTTTTAATATGAACAGTGTTCACAGTTCACTGGGATTTATGAAAGTTTTGAGCTGTATAATACCAATCCACTCGGTTTTATTAATTTGTCTGCTTATGTTGTTATTTAGAAAATTCAGCCTTCAGCAATGATAAAATATATGCCAACAGAAGCATATAATGTAAAAATAATCTAAGCCATTTCCACTCAAAGAAGAAGTTACCAATACAGGAATACTTCTCCACACTACACTGCAGAACTTTTATTCTGGATACGGTCTTATCAAGAGATAAGACTGTACACCACTGCATTAAAACTGCTTCCCTAAGTAAAACAAACCTATTGTGGGAGAAACAGTAGTTGTGCTGGATCAACACTGTCATATACAGCATAGTCTTGACTGCCAGTTCTGAAAAACAAGACTTTTCTTCAGTAGGCACACATTGCAAGCACTCCCCAAAAGGGTGAAAGAATCGGCCACTACATCTGACAGAACGTGAGGTATTTTCATCGACTTTTTTACCTTTTACACATGGGAGGGAAATGGACCCTAATGGAATATTTGAACTCTACTGTTCTGAAGAGAGTTAGCTGAAAAAATACTCTTTTCAAGAGTCACATCTATGGTACTAGAACATTAATTACCACAAGTTCCATCTGCTATTTTTCTGATGGACATTGCTAACAAAACATGTCAATACACAACAAAGAAATACAGTCTGGTTTGTTAAAATAGGAAAAAAAAAGTAATTTTTGGTACTAAACCTTCTCATGAGGGTAAATGCTTAAAAATCTGGTTAGTTTCCTTTTATTTTGTAAGCAATGCTTTCAAGTAAGAGAACACTGATAAACTGCCCAGAAGGTAAATCAGTAAGTACATACAAGCACTTCTAAAATGCAAAAAGTACATACCTAAAAAGTGCAGGGCGAGGAATGGGAAAGAATGCTCAGCTTTCAGCCACAGCAATCTTAGATACTTTCATATGTAAAGGGAAACTGACAGTTGCATACTTTTTCAAGTAATCATCAGTAATTATTTCCTACTGTCTTAAACTTTATTGTTAGCAATTACCTATGATAGACATACCTAGTATGCTGTTCTGAGGATGAAGAAATGTTGGAAAAAGCAAGAATATTAGATGATTAAATGACCTAAGTCCCTTAAGAAGCAAAATGCCATTTAAAGACATTTGGAACTTTGTCTCCTGAGTTATTTAAGCTCCCTTGGATCATTTTCCCATAATCTTTTTCTCTTAACAGTCAATGTTACTTTGAATTCTTCTAGTTTAGATTTTTTTTTAATGGTGTCTATCATCTACAATTCTGAAAACTTCTTTGGGTTCAACAAAGCTTCCGATTTTCAAAATGCCTGCTAGTTAGAGGAATCCCCAAGCTCAGTCTGCCTACACACTAGAACTGGTGGCACAGCTAAGTATGAGGAGCAGCAGCTTCCAGTTTTCTGAATACAAAGAAAGAGGCGCTTCTCTTTCCCATTCTCCTGCAACCCTCAAATTTGTCTTCTGGATCAATGTCCTCAAATGCTGCTACCCCTCCACTGCACATCTCACACTTATAAACCAGGTCGCTAACTTCTTTGGAAGTTCTTTGTGAGTGTTTGCACTGATCCTATCAGTGCATCAAAGCAATCAGGGGATGACACAGGTAGAATTACTTCACTTCTTGCTTCGTCAAACAGTGACAATTTACTCAAGTTCATATACAAATGCCTTCATTCTAAGTGGCAGAAACTTACCACTGAAGGTACATAGTTGTATTCCACAAGTAAATTCCTTGCACAATTGTTTATATGTTTAAAACGATCTGGTCCCAGGAGAATACCTCCATACCAGCGGGACACCACAACTAACACATTGTGGACATTCAAAATCTGTTTGAAAATAGAAGAAAAAAGGAAGAAAAGATGTTGTTATTTTTTTAATTGAATTAGTTTTACTGTTAACACCATGTGAAACATGGAAATTTACTATCTTACATTTTTAACAACTTACTATCAGGTCTGTGTCACACGTGTTATCAGAGGGTAACAAATAATGACAAGTCAGCATTTGTGTTAAGTTTCCCTCTAAAGCTCACACCCAAAAATAAATTCAAAGTAAAAAGAGTCAATATATCCCTCAGAAAGGGTGCAAAGCTATCTCCTGTGCACTATAGTTGCTCATCCACGTGTCAAAAGCTTCAGGCATTACTTCAACGGAAAACTACTGTGGTACATTTATTATTCTCTGATACGATGAACTATTTATTTCCAGAGAACCTCTGTCACTAACCAGACATTTCTGGAATCGGTGTTGGATGAGGCCAATAACAGCAGGGGGAGAGGCATTATGCATATAGATACCTAAAATGCCATAAGCTAGTACTGTTGCCATGTTCCATGTGGAGGACTTAGCAACTTGGCAACCTAGCATGTGGATAATACATATAAAATCTGCATTTCCCAGGTTTGATGCCTAATCACTTACAACCAAGCAGTTGCTGTCTGAATTCAAAAAGGCATATATAAAGTTCACAAAAGTTAAAATAATTATATTAGCAGTTAGGACTGAAAGGAACTCAATGACCTTTATATAGCATTTTTAAGACTGTGAGTAACAAAATCAAGTAGAGTTAAGCAGGAGTGAAAATTCCTTTTACTGCAATTAAGGGCAAGAAACGTGGAAGGCCTTCAACAGTTTTTATGCTTCACAATACCTAAAAGTGATTTGGCTAGACTTGAAAACCACCATGCATTCCACCTTGCAGCAATTCCTTCCTCAAGATCTCCCCATCATCGGCAAGCACAAGTAACACCAGGAATGCCAACTGAGTAGGTTTCAGAGAGAAACACACTTCTTTGAGCAACCTGGTCTGGAAGGTGTCCCTGACTGTGGCAGGGGGCTTGGAACTAGATAATCCTTAAGGTCCTTGTTCATAGTAAAAACAGGATGCCAAACACAGTTGGTAAATTTCTAACTCTAAGTTTGAAAGAATTGATCTAAAATACAGTTTCTTGTAACCAGAAAGTGCTACTTTGACTGAAATGTTAGGTTTATCTGGAGCGAGATAAGATTTCTATTGCAAGAGAATAACTATAACTACAGCAACAATAACTGTATTAAACCAACTAATTTTCATGCCCATATTGTATGTCACAAGTCCTTATAACAGAAAAACTACAAGACCTATGACCATACGTAAATCAGTCATAACCTACTTTAATCTTTTCCACAGGTGAAAACTGCACTTCTCTGATCCCTGTAGCAATACTCTTACAAAACAAAATCATTCCCAGTAACTAGGACTACAGATTGAGAGAGATGATCCCTATGACTTAGACACATTCACATTTGATAGGGGAAACAATGTCACTTTCTAAACTGTATTTTTATGGAATGGTAAGTGCCTGGACACTTTAAGCCTGACAGGTCTCGAAAGTGTACATTAACATGCTCAGAAAAAGCTGATAAACTCAGAACAAACTGACGTACAGTACCTGCAAAATTGTTTCTCCACATTATTTTCATTACAATAATGTTTTCATTTACCACATATACCTGCATATATTATATAACATAAGTTTTCCTTCCCAAGTTAGGTTTGAATTACTTAGGAAGTTTCAAAAAGCTCTAAATGAAAAATCTCAAAATATTTCCATCAATTACTTTTTTTTTTCATTTTTCCAGAAAAAAAACTTTGAAATAAAAAAATAATAATAATTTAAAAACACTCTAATACAGTTTCCAGGAATAAGAATACAACACATGAAGCAACAAAAAATGTAAGCAAGCAAAGGACAGGAAAAGAAAACTCCTGTTTCTGACAGGGACATCAATTTAAAAATCAAAATTAATAACAATACTTCGTGTGCTTCTATAACTGACCTGAGGCACTTATGATGCACCCAGCTGTCCCCTGTAATTAATTTCTGTTTTCACTATGGCTCACATCATGCCAGTGAATCAAAGTTTATCAATCTCAATTCACATTTAGTAGCAACTTTCTCAAATAAATATTATTTCAACATTAGAAAACTAAAGTATATGTAAGTATGAAGGCTAAAGATCCAGAACTTGAACAAAGAAAGAGAAGAAACTGTCAAAACAACTTAAACCCTTCAATTCCACTACCTTTTGCATTTAAAGCTCCACTCTGCAAGCTCAAATATAAGTGTATTTTTTTACAAAAATTTGAGGAAACTAAATGAAAGGCTGTGCGTAGCTCAACTCTCACATTCTGTCAGTCAGCTTCTTCCAGTCTTCGTTTTCAATACACCTTACACCACTCAGTAAGCACAGGAATCAAAACTTATTTATCTTTTAAAACATCCGAACTATTACTACCACCACCTGTTTCTGATCCAAGACTTGGAAAGGCTGTGGGTTGGGGTTTTTTCTCACTTTTGAGAAAGAAATCATCTATTTGTCTACAAGGACAACAGTAATTAAAATAATCATATACAAGTTTATTTACATTATGGTGGTTTTTAAAATCTGTTCAGGACTTCCAGAAGTGAAAGATTAATTCCTGTAACCTGCATAAGATGAAGGAGGCGTCCACCTGCTGCTGTCTCCCCATCATCTTCACAATCTTGTAAGAATGTCTGCTTATCTTCACAGTATATCCTTAAAAAATAAAAGAAAGAAAAAGCCTAACATAAAATAGATTAAAAAAAATGTCAATCAACTAAGTAACATTTTGGCATGATTAATGGTGTATCAGAGATTGATGAGGGGGGTGAGGCACTGGAACAGGTTGCCCAGAGAAGTTGTGGACACCCCACCCTTGGCAGTGTTAAAGGTCAGGTTGGATGGGGCTTTGAGCAACCTGGTCTAGTGGAAGGTGTCCCTGACCATGGCAGGGGGGTTGGAACTGGATGATCTTTAAGGTCCCTTCCAACTCAAACCATTCTATGATTTATGATCTTTTATACACACGTGTATCAATTCTATTTCTCTGCTAAGGACACTTACATGAAAACAGGATGAGGCTTAGGCTAAACCACAAATACTTATCTGTACAGCAGAACAAGCTTTGAGAAGCCTTTATTTAGACTTTAGCTACTTCACATTTACAATGGTAATGACTCTGGAGTTAAGTCCCTAATCATAAAAATTCTTAGGTTTTTAGCCTAATAATTACACCCAGCGGAAACCAACTCTATCAGACAGAGGTTCAAATTATGGTACACACAAACAAGTTGTAAGAACTTGGACAAAAGCATTACAAGCAATCAGTTAGGTCTACATTTCAGCAGTAGTGTGAAACTTAGTGAAATTCACCTTCAGATTCTCCATGCCACCGCCTTCCTCAGGGGACACTCCAGGAAATCTGGGGTGAGCAGGACAGCTGCTCAGCTCTAATTTTCCAGAAGTAATGCTCTGAGGTCAACTGTTTGTTACCAGTTGATTTCATAACTTCCAAACTTAATTAATAAACACATGATACAATGACAAAGAAGCTTTCAATGAGAAAAATGTACTAAATGACAAATACGAATCAAAGTTTCTGTTGTTTTTTTAAAGTTTATTTAGATAGTATGAGTGAAAGAAGGCAGATAATAATCAGCAACAACAGAAATCCCTTCTCTTCAAAAACATTTTGCTTAGGCAGATTTTTTGGTAAAGTAAGCTTTCACTTGCTCTCATTTGATGATTCATTAGGATCATGCCAGGATGTGTATGAATGGATCAGTCTATAAATGCTTTTTTAAATGACTAGTTCTCCAGTAATGAAAGGGGCTCCTTTTACTGTCATTTATATTCCTCCGAAAACTCACATCACTATCTGGACTGAGAACAATTCATTACACATAAGCTGTGCTCACAGAAGTTGCCACAGACAGACCACCTTATCTAGGTGTTCCTGCTCTGGCAGGGGGATTGGACTAGATGATCTTTTGAGGTCCCTTCCAATCTCTAACATACTGTGATACTGTGAAACTAGTATTTACCTGTTTCTCATTTTCCCTGAAGTTTCTGATATTTCAGCTGAAATTTCGTATGCCAGATGTCTGCATCAGGCTTTATGTTTCAACTCTTATTTCAACTAAAAATTTTAAGCGATTTCTAAATATAAGGTTGGGGGAAAAGAAGTTACTTCACCCATGTAAACACACATTTAGTTCAAGATGTTCTAGCATTTCCATATTCACACATACTATGTAAAATATAAAAATACATGTTCAAACCCACTTTCAATCTTTTTTTTTTCACTAATGCTGCTTTAGTATCTTAACATATTTCCTTCTATATGTTTAACTTTCTCGACCTCAATTCAAAATAAAGCCTAAAACTTTTACCATACAAATAAGAAACTCACTCCCGTAAAGACTTAACAGCAAGGAATTATTTAATGAATTCATCTTTCCTCGTGTTCTTTACTCCTTTATCAAAGAATGCTTAAAAAAAACCCGAAACCAAGCCCCAAAAAACCACAGCCCCCGAAAAACCAAAGCACTCTTCATCTCTCACCTGTATGCATGTATATTGTGGGTAGCACTTGATATTTTCTTATTCTCATATAATTTTTCAAGAACTCTCTTTACCTTTAAAAAAACAGAGATAAGATTCCTTTTAGAATGGGAATTTCATACACACCATCTCACCTCTGTGATGCTATTATTATCTCTGCTAAACAATTAACTCCTTAATACCAAAAAGAAACACCTTTTTCTTTTTTTTTGCTTTTTTACACTTCAATGTAAAATTAGTATTTAGTGTTGTAACTCAAGAAGCGGCTTCTCAGTACTCGATTGCTAGTTTCAAATCATTTTTCTGTGATACTGAGAACAGCTGTTCCTTGAAGGAATGTACCTTCAAAGATCACCTAGTCCAACCCCTCTACAACGAGCAGGGACATCTTCAACTAGATCAGGCTGCCCAGAACCACATCCAGCCTGGCCTTGAATGTCTCCAGGGGTGGCACATCCACCACCTCTCTGGGAAACCTGTGCCAGTGTTCTACCACCCTCATTATAAAGATTTTTTTTCTCATCTCCAGCCTGAATCTCCCCTCTTTCAGTTTAAAACTATTACCCCTCATCCTATCACAACAGGCCATGCTAAAAAGTCTCTCCCCATCTTTCTTACAGGCCTCTTTCGCTGAAGACGCAGAAGTGTCGAATCGCTTTACTACACAAGAGATGGTAAGATTAAAAAACATTTTTAATCAGAATGAAGTATCAATTACACCTGCTGACTTTTTCTCAACTATAACACAAAGCTGTAAGCTGGAATATAACACAACTGCTTTCACCTATTTCAGGAAAACGTGTGATGTTTAGAAAGCTCTATTATGTTCTGAATTTCTCCCTCTCCTCAAACATATTTTTTTTCCCCAGAGTTTCCATTTCACAGAAAGAATAATGATTACAAAAAAATTCCATTATGGGTCTGAAAGAGTCAGTATTTCCCAGAAAAGATATTCCCACCATGTTCATCCCTCTGATCTTAAGAAGTACCAAATTCAAAACATTTATCAGTATCAGTTCATCTTCTGTTTTTAATTAAACAAGCTAGCAATTGTTCAACCCTTTCCAATTTGGTCTAGCAAAAAAGAAAGCTTTGATCAAGACACTGCTTTAGCGCATAATAGAAAAATCAATATTACTTTGAACAAAACATTACTGAAGTTGAGAAAGCTTGGGAAAACATGCTTGGTGAACAAATTGCCTTCCATTCCAGGGAAAAATGTCTCTGAGGAGCAATCAATATACATATTTAATTTCTGTCTTAGCTATACTGTGCTATTTGCAATTCTTCTGGCAAAAATTCAGAAATTTGCAATTACAAATATCACCTCAGATGAGACCTCTATGAAAAAACTCCTATTATTAAGAGAGAATGCTGCTTCAGATGCCTGTTTTTTCCTTTTCCTGCGCCCTCTATTCCCCAAGGGGAATATTGAAGAAAGGCAACAAGTATTAGTTAACACACTTTCATAAATATATTTCAATATACGGACTTAGGGTACTACGCATATTAAATGATCATCACCTTTGACATTACTTATTTGTCACCTACCAGGCTCCTAAAAACATACCTTAATGATTCATTATGTGTATTAGCAATGAACCTCCAAGACAGAGATCTTACAGCTAAGCTATAGTTTATCCTTTTTCCCATTGTAGCTCCTGAGCCTTTTTTTTTCTTCTGTTCCAATCTCTATTATTCCTATTTAGGAAATTAAGGGATGCAATTCTTTACATGTCAGTGAGGCATCTGTTCACAAAAGATGTGAGATGCTTAAACAGACCAGCTCTTCTCACTTACTAAATCAATGTCAAATCCAAGAACCACATAACTTTCAAATGTCAGAATAAGCCAAAAATGAGACAAGAAAAAGCAGTGGCACCAAATTATAGCCTGCTACCTGAAATATGCCTATCACTTTCTGTTGAACACTAGCTAAGGTATCTAACCTACCAGTTAGAACTATTCTGCAACAGACATTCACTGATGCAATGCCACCACCTCAAAAGTTCTCCAGGAAGGATGCAGGAAACTAAAGACCAACAAGATAACAAAGGGGAAGCAAAACAAAAAAAAAACCCCACAGCTCAAAACGTTACAGCTTTTGTATAGAGAAATATACCTCAAAGCCCTGTCAATCTGTTAATACTCTTCCAGGGACACTGAACGTGTAGTAGATCGAGATCACCTGGGATTTTAAAATGCATTTGACAAGATCCTTTACCAAAAATTCTTAAAATAAAAGCTAGAATTGTATAAAAGGAAAGATTTTCTCAAGGTTTAACTTTCAGTTAATGACAAGAAAATATGAGTAGTTCAGTACTTTCTCCACTAAACAGGGATCATCAAATGAGACTGATGTCAATGAATGCAAAGTGATGTACAAAGTGACTTCAAACTAGTTATTAGCATTTGTAAAAAGAGATCCTGGAGTTATAAAAGACATTTCTATGAAAACACCAGCTCAGTGCTCAGTAGAGGTCAAAAAAGTAAACTGAAAGGTAATACTAGAGAAAAAACACGGAAAACAGAAAAACTCTTCAGGCTACTATAAATCTTTCGAATGACTGCATCTTCAGTGCTGTGCTTAGTTCTATTCTGCATCTCAAAGTCAGAGCATGCATTATATGTACCAAAAGATACTGGGGGTTTTCAGCCCATAAAACCAGAAAACTAAGGTCTATTAAAACTGATAGATGTCTATGAAGTCCAACTGCACAGAGAAAGTAGAGAGGTGCAACAAATTTTTGAGTGACTGGATCACAGCAAACATGGGAAGGCGTATTTTCATACAATGCTGTGGATTCTAAAAGTTAATTCTGGTGCTATGGGACAAATTCCATCTAATAGTAAAGAACAGCAGGATGCACTGGCAGAGCGGATATGTAGAGCTATTTATTTGACAGTGACAGCAAGAAACTGATGGTCACTCAGACAATATTAGCACAGGAATATGTGAGTACAGACAGACTGACATATCTGGCTAATCCCAAATATCTCAGTAACATTTTGTCAAGCTCAAAATACAGACAGAAAAAGTAGTACTGATCTCTACTAACTTGTCTGGGTGTCACCACAGGAGCCAGATGTGCCTGGAAAGTACTCCTTCGATCTGTAATTGGGTTTCCATGATGTATGGGTGGCAGTTCTTCATCTACTGATCACAAATAAGGAAGTGTTTGTTTTAAGAGTGCTGAAAAGATGCATATGGCTACATAAGTAAAGAATGTCTCTACTTTAAAAAACGGATTTGTTGAAGTAAAGACAGAACCATCAAAAATTATGTTGGTTTATTTTCTTCTTACAATTGTTTTTAATCCTTAATATAATTTTAATGTTACTAATTTTACTCAAAAGCTGCATAGACAACCAGAATCTTAAGGCCTCTCTCTTCTAAACTATTAATCAGAATTAACAAGGGCATATTTTTTTACCTTCTTGACTTTCAGATGTAATGTAATTTAACATTTTAATTGGATCTTCATGAATGGGCTGACAATCTAGGTCAAAATCATCTCCACCATCTTCATCAACTTCTTCACTGGTTTTCTTAATATCTGGTTCTGTTAAGACAGAAGTAGTAGACTTTATTACACATTTTTTTGTGAGACAAGACAAAATTTCAAATTCTTTTTCCCTAAACCTCTGGCTTTTCAGTTCAAAGTCTGTCATTAAAAAATTATGAAACACAGAACAGTAAGTTGATTACAACAAATTCCAGAAGTTCTGACTTTAGAGTTCAAAATAATCTGATGTTTCACAAGAACTCCAGTCATTTACTGAACATCTGGAGAAAAATGTGCAGCTGTCATTCAATATCACTTCATGAGGTTATAAAATCGTTATGTTTGAAATATCTTTCTGGACATGCTTGAAGCACTCTGATTCCCAAAATGTTATTAATCTTCATGCATAGGACACACAAAAAATAATAGTCAATAGCAAAATAGTAAGTATCACACAAAATTTGTGCTCTGGCAACTGCATTTATAGGGAATCTACCATAGACACATGTTAATTTAGGGTGCGTATGTGGTGTTGCTGTAGTTTTTGTAACAGAGGTATTTTCCATAAAAAAGCAGACTAGTGATATAGCATGTTCAAAAAGCCTAGAAAAATCATTAGATGTATTAAGTAAAAGCCACAAGGTTGCTGGCAAAATAAGCAACAAATTTCCAATACTGTCAGTAAAGTTTTCACTTCTCAGTATCCACTCCTTCAAGTTATGTCAATAAAAAATGGCTTTTTAAATATCTGTGATGTAGCAACAAAATGCACAGCTTATTGAAAACTAGACCTTATCAGGAAGCAGCACTGATTTTTTCCATCCCCTCTTCAGTCTCTTATTCCTCACAGCACTGACGTAACATCCATGATACAGAAAAATACTTCTATTTCCTTTTGCCACAACTGCATGCATACATGGCACTCATGCATTTCACAGCAATTTAGCATTTTAACACACAAACCCCCAAACAAAAATAAACCCCACCACTTTCTGAAAGTAAAACTGTGAATTTACACAAATTCTATCACAATAAGAGTAACAGCAGAAGAATCACTGCAACTCTAATGATGATATACTTCTCATCCCAATATAGTAAAATTCAATTAAGATGGAATACTTGGTCATTTGTCTGTATATTTCACTGAAGTTTATCTTCTCTTGAGGCTAATCCAAATCCTCCAAGAGTACACTGAACAACAGAAATTAATTACTGTTATGAATAATTCCTTTACAGAACAGAGGACAATGCATTATACCTGTATGCAGCACTCTGCTTTCATGCAAGTAATTTAATTTCCAAGAGAACTAAGGACCTTGTTCTAGTTCACAGAGGCCACCCCCTTTTGTCTCTGCTGCTTTTTAAAAAGGGAAGCTACCACTGTAAAACAACAAGCCATATGACACAGGAGACTGTTGTTTTATGTTATTTAGATCCAATACAAAACTGGGCATAAAACTTTAACTTGTAATGAAATCTTACTTTGCAGTTTAACATAAAGTAAATTGAGAAAGAACATGTGTTTTCTGAAGTACCTGGATCTGACGACTGTGCCTTTTCAATCAGAACTTCTCGTATCTTCTCCACCCATAAATAAAGTATACTTTCACCAAGGTTCTGTCTGGAAGTTAAAACTCACAGTGAATGATAATAATTTTTGCAGATTTCACTTGGAAAGAACATCAAATAACATACATGTTTCAGACACGCAGAAATGTAACATTAAAATCTAGTGAGATACAGATCTCAGGCTTGTGGAAAGTCCTGTCTCAGTAGTTCACTAAGCGAAATGCATGATACCTGCATTACTATATACTCTTTGTGGCTTGCTTTATTTTTATTTTTATTTAACATTAGAAGCACCAATGCTGAAGGAAAACAGGCAACTGACAGAAGCTTTATGGATATTAAGGAAAGGGAAAGCAACTGTGTAATTAAAAAAAAAGACGACTGGATCTCAGTATTTTGAAAAGAATACTAAGCTAGGATGCCTTAGATCTTGCTCTAGATCAGTTTTCTCTACAAAAATTATCGTACCCCAGGGGTGAGCTCCTTCAGGTGCTCTGTGGCTGTATGGGACTCTTCCCCCTCATCTTTGGGAGGGGGCTCACAAACGTCTCTTCCCTTCTTCTCTCCCCCCTCAAGCAGTCAGTGCACACATAGCAGAGGTTGTTCTGTTATGGCTGGACTGTGATAGTAAGTCAGTGGCAGTAGACACAGTGGAGCATTGGAGTGATATGCTAGAATATGGGTAACTAGCAGTGCTATAAGACAGGGATGTAAAGATTCAGGTCTAGGAGTCCTTAGAGGGCAAAGGTGTGTATTAAGGTTCTGGTGAAAGATAGGATGCACATATTTTTTACGTGCACATTCAGAGTTAAAAAATGCTGCCTTAAGGTGCAGCAGGACCCAAGCATCTCCAAATATATTTAAAATGGTACCCTGAAAATCTGTCTTCATATTTTAATATGTTTTTGAACTATGCATATTTGTCTCAAAAACAAAACTACAGATTTAGGACCGTAGGTAACTCTTGGTTTCTCATTAATTTTATTCCTACTTCCACCATCTGGGGTACCATGCAAGTACATACTGGTGACAAAATTACCATAGAGCTTTTCACTTAAAATCCTCATCCATTTTTAATACTTTAAATTCAATTTTACTTGCTTATCTGTTGCTTAGTTAGAAAAGAAACCCAGTTAATCAATGCAATTGAGTAATTACATTAAAAAGAAAAAAACCCATGCAAGCTAAGTGCTCTCTTTTAAATGGCATTAGAAAACTTTTCTTATGTTCAGATTTCAGTATTTTGGGCAGTCATGAGAGTCATGTGCTTCCTTACGACATATTTTCATTTCATTTAGTTTATATTATCTTTGGGATCTAAAATAATTAAATAAACCATAGAAAATACCTAAATTTACTGTTCAAATTTCACTGCAATTCAAAACTGTACAATTTTAGTACCCTAAATGTTCCATTTATTCTCATGCATTCATTATGCATTGTTGTTGGCTACACACTGTGATAATAAACAGTCCGCTGTTACAGAGCTAATTAATAGATTCTACATGAGTTTAATTTGCCTTAAAAATCTACTTATCCCTTAGCTATCTTTAAAGAAAGACTCTTTTGCCACTTACACTCTAAGACACAAATGTCCTACAGTTTAACTACCAAATGCAAAATAGATGCAGGAATCTCGTACTTCACAGCACCAATTCATAAGCAATCTCACAGATTCTAAAGGGAATCTATTCTATTAAGAATCAAAATGAAGCCTTCTATCCTTACAGAACAGCAGGTCTAAAGAATATAAATTTGTTCAAGTTTTAACACAATTTGTCCTTGCAAAATGCTTAGTAAGTACACAATATCTTTAAATGTTAGATTTATAAAATAAACCTGCTGGTTTATGGCTATGGCAGCAATCACTTCACATACACTAGTTCAGGCAGATACTTCAGAAGGATACACTGAGTAGGGCATGAAACTGAAAATACATTGTCTCCTGTCACTATATGCCAGTCTCTAACTTACATATATATTTCTTCCAAGCTATTTGCTAGTTCCGTATAATCTTGTCCTCGAAGCCAAGGAGCGCTAGAATGAAAACAAATACAATGAAAATTGTGCCTATGCATCAATTCCAACATCTCAGCAAACATTCATTTTAAAGTAAATGTGATAAACACCTCGAAAAAAACCACTGTCAATCATTGACACTTCCCAAGATTCCAGCTGCAAATGTCTTGGTAAAAGCATGATCACGCAGTTCTCCTTCAAGACTCTTTGACTGGGCTGCTTTTAATTTCTTAGATGAAAAAGCTAGATCATTTTTCATAGTAGGCCATTGTGACTCCAGAGTCACTTTACGTATTATTTGCTTACATTTTCCAACTCCTTCAGCACCATTGAATCTATTACATTTAGAATGCCCGTTCAGTTCTGCATCTGTATCTTCCTGGTCTCATGTTAAACTATAAACTTTGCCTCAAATTTACCAGCAACATTTTGCATAGCCTTGTCAATACTGATAACCAAAACTCAGCAAATATGCTGTGTGTCATGTCCTGCAGGACCCTCTGTCTTCCACATCAGGGACTTACACATCTCCATTCCCATCTCATGTACATGTCAGGAGACAAGGAGAGCAGGGAAAGAAAATAGGAAGATAGCACATGCCATGGCTGCATGCCAACAAGAGTCAGCACTCAGGTGAAAAACACATCTTTGAGTCTGAAACAAGTACCCAAACAAGAGGGGTATACACAAGGAAGAGACAAGACATCACTCCAACACAACAGGCAGCAGCCACCATACCTCCACAGTCCAATTGCTACCTTGCCACAAAATAATGCTGCAAGAGTTAGAGATAAGGGAAAAGAGCAACCTGTTACAGGGAGCTCCATAATATGGCTAGCACAGGAGAAAGGATAGAATATTCTTGCTGGAAACATCCCTCATCCCCACTATACTTTAATTCAGGGATTCATCTTAACTAAACCTCAATTTATACTGCAAGCAACTAAAAGTGGTAATTCAGAAAAGAAATACAAATGTTTGAAAGAAAACTTCACTTACTTTAGTTGATAAATAGGTGGCTCTGCAGTTGGATATCCTGGCGGCAGAATCACCTGAAAAACATTCAAGATAAGTATTCACTCGACTACTCTCAGTTAGCTGAGCTCTACTGGTGGACTCAGAGGTTGAGCACTAGGACTACAACTAGTGTTACAAATCAAGAAAATAGTTGGCTATGTTATTGCAGAATGACAAGAAAACCTGGATATCTGTATTTGGGATTTCAGTGATGGTAATGCATACATACATTATATTTCATGGTGCAATTTTCTTGGAACAAGTGCCATGAAAAATAAAGTGCAGAACAAATTTTAAAGAAGCTGCACATGTTGCTACCGGACTTCTTTAAGTGGCAGCACACTTTGGCGTTTCTTCCACTACGTGAACTTACTGGTTTCAGTTCTGTAATCATAAAGTAGCAAGTTACTCAATTAATTTGATCCAATTTTTTTTTTTGCCTCCATGTTTTTCATAAAGTAAATCTAGAAGCAACTGCAGCAGATTCACTCAGATGTCCAACACAAAGTCAATATAAAAAATATTCTAGAAATTAGTCTTGGGAAAAAAACACTGGAATTCATTTTTGTCGGGTGTGGAATCAGGATATGTAACTACTAAAAAATATCACAAGCATATTAACATGTTACAGGAACAACCACTGATGTCTATCACAGATTCCAACCAAAAGCTCCTTAATACATCTGAATAGGTAATGAATCCTATTTAAAAGGGTTTCCTGAATGCGCAAGACTTTGCTGCATCAGTCAAATTCTGCACCAAACTGCTTAACACTGCCTTACCTGAAGACAGAGGGTCCATTTTGGTTGATCCAGGCAATCATTAATCTTAATGCAATATATTTTTTCATCTTCATCAACAACACACCAATCTTCACCATATATGGATGAAAGGGCTTCAATTTCATCAATCTAGAAAATAGTATTATGCAAAAAATAAATAACCTCTTCCAGGGCCCAGAGCCTTGTGTGCCAGTCTCAGTTTTAAGTCTTGCTCTTCCACAGCTTATTTACAGACCTGACAAGATTTACTACACCAGAAGGCCATAAATACTGTGGATCCAGTCCTGACTCACAGCGTAAGTTACCTTTGCTCAGTTTTCTCATACACACAACAGCTTTTGTATTTCCATAGATAATCCTGTAATTCTCAGCAATGACAAGGTGAGCAGAGCCAGGTGGATCAGCTACAACCCATCCCTGCGCCTCCCAACCAGTGCTGCTCCTGGCTGGGCCATCCATCCCCCTGAAGGAAAACACCCCAAGGCCTTCGTGCGAGCTCTTACTAAGGAACAGTGATAAAAGTTATCCACCAAATTCCCACAGAAATCGGAGAGCCACCTTCCACGTGGAAATGAAACACCTGGAATGGGTCTTCAGTGCGAATGTGCGGTCACCCACGGGTGCTGAGCAAAGCCAGTCCCGCCGCCGCTCAGACAGCACCGCCGGCCCTGGGCAAGGAGCTCCTCCTGACACGGCCGGCGCTCACCAGAAGCCACCGGAACCCACTGCTTTCGAGGCGGCTCTCACGCTGCCCGTCCGAGGGTGCCGCGGCACGCCAGGACCCGCGCTGCTCCCGGCAGCCCTGTCACCCCACCGCCACTCACTTGCTGTTGAGCCGCCTCCGTGTCCCCCGCCGCCATGGGTACCTGACGGGAGCAGGGAAAGGGCATGCGCCGAAGGAGGAGGTTGCGCAGTGGTGGCTGTGAAGTCGCCAGCCTTTCTTCCGCCAGCACGCCAGCTCGCCTTTCTGCGCCGACTTCTGCCATGAGGCGCACACAAAGCAGTTATATTTCAGTGGCAATTATACAGTCATGTTTGTCTTGCATTCATGTCACTCAAAACAAGCTATTTGCATTCTTATAATTGCATCATTTCTTCTAAAAAACGACTGACCAAAAACATAGGTTTTTCCAAGCAGGTTCCATTAAAGTTATATAGAAATGCAGTTAGTTTATTTAACATTGACAAGATTTATGTCTCTTATCTGTTTTAGACAGCACTGATAGGTAGAGATCTCTTTTTGCTTGAGCGTGAAGTATGGATGTCATCTCTTGCAGTTCATATGTTTTCTTCCAGTGTGTTTTTATAGTTGTGAGGAATACAAGGTAAAGTTTGTTTTCCTTTTTCTCAAAAGCTGGAAGATTCTGTGCCTGCTCTGGAGAGCAGGATTAGAGTTCAGAATGATTGTGACAAATAAGTCACACGTTCTAAAACCAAGAAACAGCAATACAAAAGAAATCCCCTAGGATGCAACAGAGTAGAGACAAAATCAGCACTGTGTTATCTACTGCATATATGCAGGATGGAGAAATACTGGTTTTACAGCAGTTCCACAGAAACTATTTGGGAGTTACTTCCAAGCTAAACATTTACCAACAGTGCCGTGCTTTTGCTTAAAGGAGAACCATCATAGCCAGGATGTCCAAACACATCTGAGGCAATGTGAGACGTGAGGTAATCCTGCTTTGCATGGAACCACTAAACCCCAGCTGGAATTCTGTGTCCAGTTTTAGGACTGCACTTCAACAAGGATGTGCAGTAACTGAAGTCTGGATTAAAGCAATGAAATCAGGCAAGCCTGAATTCTGAAAGGACTGGAGTTTGTTAAAGAGAAGGCTGAGAAACACAGGCATCCTTAATATGCTACCGATTGCAGCATTTTTCCTCCCTCTCAAATGCAGGAAAGATGTGATATACAAAAATTTAATTTTTAAGGTTGTTGAGAGATTCAAATCATGCTATGGAGAATTTGCCAACAATGAAGTCAGTCATCCTGAGAGAAGAGGGGGGGTGGTGTGATAATCATCCTCATTTACACACAAGCTGTTGCAAAGATGGGCACGATACTGTGTGCTGGTGAAGCAACATGTTACCTTACATTACAGGAAGGAAGATTCAGATAATCAAGCAGAAAAGCTAAGCACTGAGGACTTATATAAGCTGTCATCTGTGCAAGGTCTAAAAGAGGTTAGGCCTGAAGGAAGCTGATCTTGTCTTGGGCCAAGAACATGGGATAGATTGCTGTGAATGCAGGAATTCCTAGAACATTTATGTGAATGTATTCTTGGGCTTATAGTTCTATTGGAAATTAGATTACTGTTATTAACTGTGACCCTAACTTGAGAGCTAATTTGCCTTAAAGAGAGAACTATGATACTACAAGATATTTTTAGCTTTCTGATAGCAACTTCTATATAGTGCTTGTGCTTTTGTAAGTTGCTAGTTTTGACTTAGCTGAACAAGCGAGTTTACATGACTACATGCATTATTTGTTACTAAATAACTTAAAGTTGTTACTGACTTTTTTATGATTGTTGTTGTCTATAATCCATATAAAAGCATTGATAGGAAGGATTTCAGCAACCTCCCAGGAAAAAACTGTACTGGATAAAAAGACACAGAAAATAAATCACTAAAACTGTATGGACTGTAGACATCTTTGACAGATTTCTGAGGATTTGTAATTTCCTTTCATTGTCAGTCATATTTGTGATAAGTCTTACTAAATTGAAATGGAGATAAATGTAGTTAATGAATCTCCAACATGTTTATATATACTAAATTAATAACAGAGTAGCTGAATTTATGTGATGTACAGGAACATTTAACAGCTAATTAATTTGTCTGTATAAAATGAATATTCCCTTAAAGCCAGATATGAATTATCCAAGATAATTCAAACTTTCAAACTAAGGATAACAGTATAATAGTGTAATGCAATATTTGGAGTCTTCCTTCAATACGTAACTGAAACTTACTATTCTTTATGGTGAGTCATCACCCAAACCAATACTCTTCACAGCAATCCATGAACTTTGATATTTAAAATGGTTACCAAATCTAATCTTTGGTCCTTCAGTTCTGTCTTTGTGAAGTACAGATAGCAAATGAAAACACTTAGAGCTCAAATCAGTTAAGCAAAAGACCCTGAAGGTCAAGAAGTGACCCAAACTACTACAGGGTATTCAAATTCTTTGTTCTGTCTTGTCAGGGAAAGATAATACACTGGGAAATTACTGATGCCTTTCTGGAACCAGAATCTAATCCTAGAGCACAAAAAGCTTAAACCAGATAGAAATAATATTCACAATGCTAAGGAAGCAGTATTTTCCCAGATGGCATAAATAAGGACGTTATTTAAATGCAATGCATGTAAGAGCTCTCAACAATTTTAAAAGAAAAATTCCAAAATCATAAATGCTTTCTGATTTAATGAAATACTGCTCACATTCTACTACCAAATTTGTCCAGAGGGGGGTGGTAAACAGCCACATTTTAACGTTGGGGGTGGGGGGGTGGGGGGGTGGAAGGATGGTTGGAACTAGCAGGAAATGCTGTTCTCCCTGTGTATATAACTTTAGCCCATGTGAGCTTTATTTGTAGCAGATTCTATTCTCTCTGCTAGTTGTTTTGTTAACTTTATGATCTGAAACTTAGAAACATTAGATCTGTATAATAAACCAACATATTACGTATATGATGTTAGGAGGGCAGCATAGAATTTGACAGCACAAAGTAGATGCTGGTTAGGAATAAACAGCCACAGTTGATATGAGTGAAGAATTCTGATTTGTGACTAAGACTCACATATAAAGCATACATCAGGAATAGTATAGAACTAAGAAATATAGAAGAACTAAAACATTGCCATAAAATATCATTAACACTGCTTGATTTTGCATACAACAGTTCAAGCAGCATGGTGTATTTGCGACTTCTCTTTTATAAATCAGAGAGGAAGATTAAGAACAAACAAGGGCACTGACATGTTATGTACTACCTGTTATCGCCCTCAGTTCTGTATTCTGGTTTTGAGCAGGATTTTCTTCTACTGAGACTCTGCCAGTACTGTAGCTTTATATTAACAATAGCTTCATGAGATCATTAAGTAACTTACCAATACAACAAAATTTTCTCTGATGTTCCAATTCTACTTTATATATAATATAATTTCAGTCTGGGTTATGCAATAAGGAGAATATATCCATTTAAACATAAAGTAGTTCAGCTGATTTCGCTTTCATAAGGATGTGTTTTGCTACAGTGTGGTCTAAACTGACATAAATTAGCTATAAGCTTCATAGTTACTAGCTCTCCACATGCAGTTGATTTATTGTTTTGGACCTAAAGCCAACCCAACTAATTCAACCACAAGAACAAAAAAGTGCATTCAACAAGCCTAAATCTTGGTGTAAGACTACATGTTTAGTAAGACTAAGGGGAAGTGTGACTTACACCTTCATTAAGAATGTTTCTGCTCTTTCAGCCACAACCCAGTTGTATGCTGGCTGTAACAGTATACAGTTGTATTTTTTAGAACTAGAGAAATCCAAAGAATTTTCCATAAAGTAGTAAATGTGTGCAGGTTTTAAGAGCCTCCTGGCAGAATACATGGCATTTTCTCCTGCCATACCAGTATTCAGATAAAAGGGGCATGTTAAAATGAACTCTTCTCTATTTCAAAGGTTTTTATTTGTTTTTCTGCTAGAGGATACCTCCAGTAACTGCCTAAATTTACTCCCACACTGCTTTGAGCAGCAAAAAGCGAGCATTCCTAATCTCAGCAGTTAATCTGGCTCGTGCCATCTACAAATTAACCACATTACATGGTTATTTCCTGCAAAGTATGAAATAAATATCAGCAACAGACTCACATATGTAAAAATTCCTACAGAGTAGTTCAGAACTACATGAAAATTTGCTTTCATTGCTCACTGGAAGTTGCTCTTGGTAATCTAAGAAGAAGATCCACAGGAATCATGTCTAAGAATGAGAAAGGAGAAGGAAAAAGAAGAAAGACAGAGGAATAAACGCTGGACGGAAGGAATGCCATCCAGAGGGACCTCAACACACTTGTGAGGTGGGCTGATGCCAACCTCATGAAGTTTAACCATGACAAGTGCAAGGTCCTACACCTGGGTCGCAGCAATCCCAGGCACAGCTACATGCTGAGCAGAGAACAGATTCAGAGCAGCCCTGCAGAGAAGGACTTGGGGGTGCTGGTCTATGAGAAAATGAACATGAGCCAGCTTCAGTGTGTGCTTGCAGCCCAGAAAGCCAACCGTATCCTGGGCTGCATCAAAAGGAGCGTGACCAGCAGGTCGAAGGAGGAGATCCTGGTTAGACAAAACCTTGGGTGACATTGCTCAGTGTGAGGTGTCCCTGCCCATGGCAGGGGGGTTGGAACTAGATGATCTGAAGGTCCTTTCCAACCGTAACTATTCTATGATTCTATGAATAAAATACAAGAAAGACAAGTTATACCTAATAACATTGCTCACCACCTGTTGACTGATGCCAGCCTGCCCCCAACTACTGCCAATTGGTACTCGGACAATTCCCCCTTGTTTATATACTGGGCATGACATGCTGTGCTATGGTCCCTTTGGCTAGTTTGCGTCATGTGTCCTGCCTTTGCTTCATACTTGCTTTTTGTGCCCCTCCTCACTGGCAGAGCCCAGGAGACTGAAAAGTCCTTGATCAGGGTAAGCACTACTTAGCAACAAGTAAGACATCTGTGTGTTATCAGCATTGTTCTCATACTAAATCAAAAACACAGCACTGTTCCAAGTACTAAGAGGAAAACTAACTCTATTCCAGCCAGAACCAGGACACCAGTATGCTCTAATCTGAAGAGAACAGTGTCAGTGCAATAAAGAGTTGTTATACATAAAATTGTGACGTTTCACCAAGGGTAGGAACACAAATGCCAAGT